TGGAATAATCATTAGTGTGGTTTTTGGACATGAGTAAGAATGACAGCATGAGTAATAGTGGCAAAATGACAATGGGCTTTGGTACTAAAGTCTTCAGTGACTAAAGCCAGACTGATGAGGAGAATACCAGATCACCACAAACAGGGACAGACAGTAAGTTGAATAGTCTGACAGTAGGGTGATTGTGAGGGCTTCAGAAGAACTAATAAGTAAAAATCATTTATGTAAAAAAATTTTAAACACAGTGCTTTTTAAAAAACACTAATGAATTGTTTATGAATTGCATATGCAGAATAAACATGAACTAGAAGTGTACCACAAAACCAACATCTATAGTTGCCTAAAAAGGGAAGAAAAGTAAAACATTATAATAAAGAACTTGCAAGGTAAACTTCAGCTTTTTCATAATGCTCTATTAGTTCAGTAACAGGTTGGAAAAAAATATATAATCATAATCATGGCACTAATATTCAATTCATGGAACAACTGTCACAATGTGCACATGGTTATTAGATAGGCAGCATTTAAAATAAGATACATGCATTGATGAATGGCTTATTATTTTAAAAATACACAAATCTTTTAAATAAAGTTTACGTGCAAGAGAAAGTATATGTAAAAATTTCAAATAAGTAGCAAGGTTCTTTTCTTTGACACAAAAGAAGTATAAGACACCATTCCTGTATATCAGAAAGGTTAAATACTATTAAAGAAATAATTCAGTTATACTCGACAAAGTAATAAATCAATGAGCAGATAATGCAGATACATTATTGGGGGGGCAGTATGTAGATTTCAAAATATAATGTTTTTAACTTATAATGATTAGTAATATGATGAATCTTGACAGTTCTAAAATTGCAAACACTGTTATTGTAAAAATCACAAATATTTCTAAAATTCTACAATTTAAAAAAGGAACACTCAAAAGCAGATTATACACAGTACATTTTAGATCTTTATTATTTATGGGTTCTTCAAACATTAACTCAATGCAAAGAAGAAATACAACTTTCATTTTTCCACCAACACAAACACATTAAAAAATTTACTTAAATCTCAGCTTATACATTTAAAAAATTGAATATAAAATAAGAAGCCTAAAAATACATAAGTACTTTAAGAACAATTCAATCAACTGCAACACAATTCAACTGCATAGAAATATAAGCACTAGAGCCTTAAAGTACAAAGATAAATAGTATCTTTCCTCATGTACCTAAGAGCACAGAAAATCCCTTAAGTTTTAGATATACTGTAAATCAGTGTTTCTCAAAGTGCAGGCCACAAAGTAGCAGCACCAGAAACATCAGAATTACAGGCATACCTCAGAGATACTATAGTTCCACACCACTGCATAAAGTAAATTCGCAATAAAGCCTGTCACATAAATTTTTTTGGTTTCCCAGCGCATGTACAAGTTTTGTTCACATTATATTAAGAAATAGCATACATCTAAAAATACAATGTACAAGACTTAATTTAAAAATACTTTACTGCTAAAAAAAAATGCTCACAATCATCTGAGCCTTCAGCAAGTTGTAATGTTTTTGCTGGTGGAGGGTCTCGCCTTGATATTGAGGGTGGGAGTTGTTGAAGGGTGGGTGACCCATGTTAATTTCTTAAAATAAGACAAAAATGCAGTTGGCTACACCCATTGTCTCTTCCTTTCATAAAAGATTTCTCCGAAGCACGTGATACTGTTTGATAGCATTTTACCCACAGGAGAACTTCTTTTAAAATTGAAGTGAATTCTCTCTAACCTTGCCACTGCTCTATCAACTAAGTTTATGTAATACTCCAAAATCCTTCGTCGCCATTTCAACAATGTTCATAGCATCTCCCGCAACCAGGAGTGGATTCCATCTCAAGAAACCACTTTCTTTGCTCATCTATAAGAAGCAATTCCTTAGTTGTTAAAGTTTTATCACAAGATTGCAGCAATTCAGTCAAATCTTCAGGCTCCACTCCTAATTAAGTTTTCTTATTATTTCTACCAATTTGCAGTAACTTCCTTACTGAAGTTTTGACCTGTTCCAAGTCATCTAAGAGGGATGGAATCAACATCTTTCAAATTCCTGTTAATGTCGATATTGTGACCTCCTCCCATGAATCATGAATGTCCTTAATGGCATCTAGACTAGTGAATCCTTTGCAGAAGGTTTTCAATTTACTTTGCCCAGATCCATCAGAGGAATCACTACCTATGGCAGCTATAGCCTTATAAAATGTATTTTTTATTTGTTTTGAGACAGGGTCTTGCTCTGTCGCCAGGCGGGAGTGCAATGGTGCGATCTTGGCTCACTGCAACCTCAGCCTTCTGGGTTCAAGTGATCTTCCTGCCTCAGCCTCCTGAGTAGCTGGGATTACAGGCACATACCACCACACCTGGCTAATTTTTTAATATTTTTAGTAGAGACAGGGTTTCACCATGTTGGCCAGGCTGGTCTCAAATGCCTGAACTTGTGATCCGCCTGCCTCGGTCTCCCAAAGTGGTAGGATTATAAGCATGAGCCACTGCACCCAGCCTAAAATGTATTTGTTAAATAGTAAGACTTGCAAATTAAAACTATTCCTTGATCCATGGGTTACAAAATGATTGACAAGTTAGCAAGCATGAAAACAACATCAGTCTTCATGCACATTGCCATCATAGCTCTTGGCCAGCTAGGTGCATTGTCTAAGAGCAGTAGTATTGAAAGGAATGCCTTTTTCTGAGCGGTAGGTCTCAACAGTGGGCTTAAAATATTCAGTAAACCATGCTGTAAACAGATATGCTGTCATTCAAGCTTTGTTGTTACAGTTACAGAGCACAGGTTTCATTACAGTTACCAAGCACAGGCAGAATAGACTTAGCATAATTTCTTGGATTTCTGGAATGGTAAATTAAGTGTTGGCTTCAACTGAAAATCACCAGCTGCATTCGCAACTAATAAGAAACTCAGCCTGTACTTTGAAGCTTTGAAGTCAGACACTGACTTAGGCTCTGTAGCTGTGAAAGTCCTAGAAGGGATCTTTTGCTGGTAGAAGGCTGTTTCATCATTGAAAAACTGATGTTTGGTGTAGCCACTTCAATTAATGATCTTAGCTAGATCTTCTGGATAACTTGCTGCAGCTTCTACATCAGCACTTGCTGCTTTACCTTGCACTTTCTTTTTTTTTTTTTTTTTTGAGGTAGAGTCTTGCTCTGTTGCCAGGTTGAGGTAGAGTGGCATGATCTCAGCTCACTGCAACCTCTACCTTCTGGGTTCAAGTGATTCTCCTGCTGAGTGGTGGGACTACAGCTATGTATCATCATGCCCAGCTAATTTTTATATTTTTAGTAGAGACAGGGTTTCACCATGTTGGCCAGGATGGTCTCGATCTCTTGACCTTGTGAGCTGCCCACCTTGGACTCTCAAAGTACTGGGATTACAAGTCTGAGCCACCACACCCAGCCTACCTTGCACTTTCATGTTATAGAGATGACTGCTTTCCTTGAACCTCATGAACCAACCACTGCTAGCCTCACATTTCTCTTCTACAGCTTCCTCACCTCTCTTAGCCTTCTCAGAATTGAAGCACAGTTAGGGTCCTGTACTGGATTAGGCTTTGGCTTGAAAGAATGTTATGGCTGGTTTAATCTATCTAGACTAGTTCAAAATTTGTCCACATCAGCAATCAGATTGTTTTGCTTTCTTATTATTAGTGTGTTCACTGTAACAGTACTTTTAATTTCCTTCAAGAACTTTTCCTGGGCATTCACAACTTGGTTACCTGTAGCAAGAGGTCTAGCTTTCTCCCTTTATTGCCACTGGACATGTCTTCCTCAGTAAGTTAATCATTCTGACTTTAAATGAGAAATACGAGACTTATCCTTTCACTTGAACACTTAGAGGTCATTGTAGAGTTATTAACTGGCCTAATTTCAATATTGCTGTATCTTGGGGAATAGTGTGGCTCGAGGAGAGGGAGAGAAATGGGAATAACTGGTCATCAAAGGAGCAGTCAGAACACAAATATTTATCTATTAAGCCTGTTGTCTTATATAAATGTGGTTGTGGTACTCCAAAACAATTAAAATAGTTACATAAAAAACCAGTGATCAAAGATTACTATAATAGATTAACAATAATGAGTAAGTTTGAAATATTGAGAGATTTACCAAAATGTGACAGAGACATTAAGTGACATGAAGGGAGGACATGCTACTGAAGAAAAAAAGGTGCTGATAAATTTGCTCAATGCAGGATTGTCATAAACCTTCAATTTGTAAAAAACAGTCTCTGTGAAGCACAATAAAGCAAAGCACAATAAAACAAAGTATGCCTGTATTTTGCTTGTTAAAAGAATAAGCTGCTTGTTAAAGTAAATTTCTGTGCTCAACTGGAAAACTATTATAACAATATAAGAATTTCAATATTTGTAAATGTTCTTTTGTGACTGTTATTTACATAAAAGTTTGAAAATCAACCCTTTAAATGTAAGAGTAATTGCTACTATAAAATAATAAAGGTGAAAGGGATCCCCCCTTCTAATTATAAAAATTTTGACTTAAAATAGATTTTTTAAATTGAGTAGATTAAAATGCTTAATAGTTTCTTTAAAAATATTTGCATGATGTGGTTGGGCTCGATGGCTCATGCCTGTAATCCCAGCAGTTTGGGAGGCTGAGACAGGTGGATGATGAGGTAAGGAGTTTGAGACTGACCTGACCAACATGGTAAAACCCTGTCTCCACTAAAAATACAAAAATTAGCCAGTGGTGGTGTGCACCTGTAATCCCAGGTACTCAGGAAGTGGAGGCAGGAGAATCGCTTGAACCTGGGAAGCAGAGGTGGCAGTGAGCCGAGATTGTGCCACTGCACTTCAGCCTGGGCAACAGAGTCAGACTCCGTCTCAAAAAAAAAAAAAAAATTTGTATAATGTCTAAACTTTATTATACTGAGACCATTTCACTAATGGGCATCACAACTGAAGAAATAAGATAAACTTAAGCAAACATAAGCTAACAGACTTACAGTTGGTGATATCAGGTGGTGCATAGCCATCATTCATATACATACTTGTGGGTTTTGCAACTTTCAAATAAACAAAATCAGACGTGTTCTTTAAGGCAGTTACTGCTTCTTCGTGAGTAACTTCTTCTAAACATACATTATTTACCTAAAAAAAAATCCCAAAAGACATTTATGACATTTTCACTTGTTTTCTGAGTTTTGCAAACAATTTCACAAAAAGAGAGGGAACATGAGAGCGTGATTTAAGGAAAATAAAGGTATGCGGAAAGAAAATACCCATGTTTGATGTCTACGATATCAGTAAGTTGGTTATCATGGCATGTGAAGTTGTTGTACGTTAACAGAATGGCCCATTTTGGTTCCAGCTTCCATCCCTCCTATTCTCCCAGTCTTGATTTTTCTCTCTTTTTAGACATTTAGGAATGTGTGTAGATATGTTTTAGACCTTTTTTTTTTTCCCTAAACAAATGAAAACATACTAAATGTTTGTCTTTATATTAGGATTTTTAATGTAAGGTACCTTAGAGACTGTTCCATGTTGGGACACAAATTAATAGAATTACTACATTATAACAAACAGTTGCACAGTACTGCATTGTGTGGCTATATTATAATTTATTAAATATTATCATATATCTGTTAATATTCCCATATTTAAACTGAAAAACTATTAGAACACAGTTGAGCATAGACATTTGAATTGTTCTCGTAAATGGTTTTTATACTCACTGTAAGTATGAGAGTGCCCGTCTACTTACACCTTTGCCATTAAACATTATCAATTAATTTTAAAAATCTGTAAAATGATGCATGTTTTAATTTATACATGAATTAATTTTAAATTTCTACTTTCTTAATACTCAAGTTGAAATTTTTTTCAATTATTTGTTGGCCATTCATCTATCTTCTGTATAAAATATACCTGACTTTTAGGTAGTGATATATCCTGCAACCAGTACTAATTTATTAGTTCTATTAGCAGGTTCCTTAGAATATTCTATATATGATATGATGACATCTGCATATATAGTTTTATTTCTTCATTTCTAATCTGAATTTTTTTTCTTTTTCTTTTCTTATTGCCGTGGATAGAATCTCAAGTATAACACTGATTAGAAGTGGTAGTTTGTGTCCTTCTAGCAATCTGTCCATTTCATCTAAGGTACCTAAGGTATTAGCATATCGTTACTCATAAATAGTCTCTTGTTTTCCTTCGTTCATTCTTGCTTTCAGAGATCTGAGCCGTCTCTCTTTTTTCTTGGCTGGTCTAAAGGTTTGTCATTTTGTTGATCTTTTTCAAAGGACCAACTTCCAGTTTTGTCTATCTTCTCTATGACTTTTCTATTACCTATTTCATTAATTTCTGCTCTGATCTTTATTATTTCTACCCTTCTGTTTGCTTTAGGTTTAGATTGCTCTTCTCTTTGATACATGTTCTTTTGCAAATAAATAAAACATTAATGTTTCTGTTTTAAATTGACATGTACTAAAACATTAATATATTTTTCATTTTCCTATTTGTACCTTTATAATTGACAATGGAAGCTGTTAATTTTTTTTCACACAAAAATGTGAAGGTCACAAAAGAATAATTTCCCCCCACAAATTATTAACATTGCTTTGCAGAGTCCCAGCAGCATGGTCATTTTTATGGCTCCACATTACCATGCAAAGCATTTATTACCACATTACCATGCAATATATATATTATGTATTTGAAATACATATTAAATGGCTGTTGTATTCTGTTTCTTTAGTTGCCTACAATAAGCCATGAATCCTGGTATTCATACCTTTGTAAAAATCTCTTCCTAAACTGAATTTTGCTTGGCTACATAACTAGCTTTAGCCAATGAGGTATAGTAATTGTGAAGGAAAGAGAGGATTGATAAAAGCAATGAATTGTTGCTTGTCTTCTTGGAAAGTTCACTTTTGGAACCTAGCCACCATCCTGCATGAAATTCAACCTAGCCATGCAAAGCGGCCACTGGAGAATTAAGCACCTGGCTAACAGTCCCAGCTGAATTCCCAGCTGAGTGCCAACTTGCCCACCATATGTGTGAGCCAACCTAGCAGTGAATTTTGCAGCCTAGAAAAGCAAAGACAAGCTATTTCTGCCAAGCCCTATCCTATCTGCAGAATTATAAACAAATACATGAGTAATTTTTTTTAACCATTAATCTTGGTGCTTTCTCACATATCACTAAATAACTGATAGAAGAGCTGACACAATATGCAGAGGGATTCAATGTGGAATGTGAAAGAAACATAATGATCCCAACGTTTTAGACTACATGAAAGTTATCTGATCATTTACTAGAGTCTTGACCTACATGTTAAAAAACAGTGACCTTTGTAATGAATAATAAAGAGGAGAAAATGTACAAGCAGTGAGTCCTGGATTACTTCAATGTTTAGAGGTTAGGGATATGAGGAGACACCAGGCACCAGAAAAGAAGACTGAAGAGTGGCTACGAAGAGAAGAGAAATACCAAAATAAAGGGTAACTGTTAGGCGAATGAAAAAGTGTTAGAAAGAGGAGGAAGATGTGTCAAATTCCAGCCAAATAAGTCAATTAAGACAAGGACTGAGATTTGAATGATTTCAGTGTAATTATGAGAACAAAAGCCTCAATTAAAGTTAATTTAAGAGAGAATGAGTTTTGCCACAATGGTATCAGGACAAGTTGCTGTCTCCTACCACCAAAACCAGTTCTAGAGAAACCATAAAGCAAAACATGGTAGCCAAGAAATTAAAAAGTGAAAGTAAGAAAAAACAAGTGGAGAGAGAAGGCTGTCTTGACTGTGTGTGTGTGAGTGGTGGTGAGATGGTGCTGGTTATAATTTGAGGCAAGAGTGGTGATTATAGCTGTGAAAGGATAAGTTAGAGAAATGTGTTCAAGTTCTGCTCTTTCCTTTTCCTCATCATTAACTAAAAAAAAAATCTCCTTGCAATAATAAACAGTACTGAACAAGATGCAGAACAAAGGAATCTTTTCTATATTGTTATTGTAAATTTTTACAAGCAGCCTGGAAAACAACAGGACAGTTTTTTGGTGGCTCAAGCCTGTAATCCCAGCACTTTGGGAGGCTGAGGCGGGTGAATCACGAGGTCAAGAGATCGAGACCATCCTGGTCAACATGGTGAAATGCCGTCTCTACTCAAAATACAAAAATTAGCTGGGCACGGTAGCGCGTGCCTGTAATCCCAGCTACTCAGGAGGCTGAGGCAGGAGAATTGCCTGAACCCAGGAGGCGGAGGCTGCGGTGAGCTGAGATCACACCATTGCACTCCAACCTGGGTAACAAGAGCCAAACTCCGTCTCAAAAACAAAAAAATAAATAAAAAGAATGCTACTAGTAGGATAATCAATGATCCAGTAAAGTCCATGCTTAGGTAGACAGTCAAGTGAAATTCTTGTACATGCTCACCAGAACACACAGCAGGTCTTCCTAGGAAAATTATTCATAATACCAAAAAACAAAAAAATAAATGTGACTTAAAATAGATTTTTTAAAACCAACTTACTACTATGTCAGACCCAGCTGATGTGTCTTTTCAGATTTGGCTAGGCCTTGGCTGCTTTGTTCAGTGGGAAGTCCTGACTCCTACTACATTCATCTTGTCTCCCGCCCTTCCCAGTTTTCTCAGCCACTTCTGGCTAGGACTGGGCATGGCCCTTCCCAGTTTTCCATGACGTGCTCCACACAGTGAGAGCCATAACAAGTCACAAACCTACGTCTGACCTGTCTATACCACTGTAACTCTAGGTCTCCCCACCATTTTTGGGCTTGGGTGAAGTGCTGTGCTGTGGAGCACAGAAGTTGGCTTCCCTAGAAACTGCACAGGGGAGTTGGGTAACACAATCCAAAAATTTGAGACAATTAACCCCTAGGGGTTAGACAAGAGAAAGGAGAATAAAAGGGGCCAGCAGATAAACCCATCTTTTTTTCCTCTGGATGGCTGGTTGTAAGGTTTATGATGGCTGGATGGTGTTCTACAATGTCTGCCTGGAAGACTGTTCTACATGACAAGCCACAGGCTACCTTATAAAAATTATAAAATTATAGCCAGAAACATTCTACCTTCTGTTGGCTCTCATTCATTCTCTGCTTCACTTTTCATTTTTACTAACTCTAGTTTTCTGGAGATCACATCTCCCAATAACACCTTAGCACACAAGCTTTTCTTCAGATTCCGTTTTCCTAAGGAACATGGACTGAGACAGTTATTGATTAATATGGTCTGTCTCCGTGTCCCCACGCAAATGTCATCTTGAATTGTAATACCCACATGTTAGGGATGGGACCTTGCAGGAGGTGATTAGATCATAGAGGTGGCTCACCCATGATATTCTTGTGATAGTGAGTGACTCTCATAAGATTTGATGGTTTGATAAGCATCTGCCATTTCCCTTGCTGGCACTTCTCTTTCCTGCTGGAATGTGAAGAAGGGTGTGTTTGCTCCCCCTTCTCCACTGCCCACCCCTTCCCCTCCATGATTCTAAGTTTCATGAGGCCTTACTAGCCATGAAGAACTGTGAGTCAATTAAACTCTTTCCTTTATAAGTTACCCAGTCTCGAGTAATTCTTCACAGCAGTGTGAAAACAAACTAATATACTGATGAAGACTGGACAAATAAATTGCAGTACAGTCATGCAGTGGAATATTACGTAGAGATAAAATGAATGAACTTTAGGGTTTACTGAGACCTATGTATCATTAAGCAATGATATGGGTCTCAGTAAAACAATACTGAATGAAAAAAATACTGAAAGTCTTGATATAGTGCAATAGCATTTTGAAAAAGCTTCAAAACAAATAATACTAAACAAAATATTTAGGCATATGTTTGTAATTAAACTTTTGTTTTGTTTTTTTCTTTTGAGATGGGCTCTCACTCTGTCACCCAGGCTGGATTTCAGTGGCACAATCACAGCTCACTGTAACCTTGACCTCCTGGGCTCAAGTGATCTTCCCACCTTAACATTCCAAGAAGCTGGAACTACAGGTGTATACAACCACGCCTGCCTAATTTCTGTATTTTTTTGTAGAGACAGGGTTTTGCAGTGCTGCGCAAGCTGGTCTTAAACTCCTGGGCTCAAGCAATCTGCCTACATGGTGTGAGCCACCATACATGGCCTGATTTAATAATTTTTAAGAAGCAAAGGATACTTTGGGAGGCCGAGGTGGTCACCTGAGGTTGGGAGTTCGAGACCAACTTGACCAACATGGAGAAACCCCAACTCTACAAAAAATACAAAATTAGCCAGGCGTGGTGGTACATGCCTGTAATCCCAGCTACTTGGGAGAATTGCTTGAAACCGGGAGGCAGAGACTGCAGTGAGCCAAGATGGTGCCATTGCACTCCAACCTAGGCAACAAGAGTAAAACTCTGTCTCAAAAAAAAAAGGCAAAGGAATAAATGCAAAGTGGTTGATGTTCTAATTCCTGCACTAGGTAATTCCTTATATTATTAATTGAAGTAAAACAAAAAAGTATCATGCATAAACAAATGATGATGTTGTTTTATAAACCTAAGGATAATAATGAAACACTTCCGTGCATATTAAGCCCTCAACCCTTCAAGAACAACAAAGGAATAAAAGGAAAAGGGAGGAGGAACGGGCAGAGAAAACAGAAATGACAAATAAAGATATTACCAAGAATCACTTTTAGGATTTGATACAGCAAGGCTAGTATTTACTAATTTAAACATCATTTAGACCTTTTTGGTATGCAGAAATTCCAGTATCTATTAGAAAAACACAGACAACAAAATGATTTAAAAGATAACAGGTTTCTTATACTTACTGCTAGAAGTTTATCTCCAATCTGAAGTTTGCCATCCTTATGCGCTGCACCTCCTTCAATTATTTTGGTTACATAGATGCTATTATCCCCAGGAATATGCTGATTTCCAACACCTCCAGCAATGCTGAACCCAAGACCTGTTTGGAAAACACTAGTTTTAGATTCTTATCCATAAATATGAACTTAAGCTCAGAAAGAAATGGTTGAAAACTAGAAGGTAATAGTTTCATCACACTATTATTTTTTAAAATAGAAAAGGATCTATTCAGTTATCTGCTAGTATATGTTCTAGAATCAAGGGACAATAATAAATATGGCTGCTCCTATAGTTACAAATAGATTCCTTTTATCCCTTGGGCTCCTTCTTAATATCTTTTTGCTAATGCACTTGTTATTCCAAAGTGACATTGAAAAATTATGTTTTACTTTTGTTTCCACTGTAATTATGTTTCTTATCTTTACTTTTAATATTTTCACAAGAATAAAATAATTCAAAAAAATAGTAAGTGGTGGTGGGCAGAACCAACAGGCTTTAAAAATGTGAATACTTTCGTTCTTTTTCAATATTCTATGAATTAACAATTTTAAGTAAGGAATTTCTGTAATTCTTAAATCCCATAGCTTCAATATCAGATAATTTCTCAGCTCTCCATTCCTTTTTCATTTCATGAAATCTTCCCTCTTCCATGAAGCCACATATTGAAACTAATATTTCCAATTATCCTCACTCCATCAATGTTTTCAAAATTCAGAAATCCCATCTTAATAGTCCTTTACTGCAGATGTAACTGCTCATAATACATATTATAAACACTTCTTAACTTAGCCCCTGTATGTGCATTTAAAGTACTTTGTAGATTATCACGAGTTAATATCAATTCTATACTTAACTTCAAAGTGTTCAAGAACACAAATGTTTCACTCTTTTAATGTGAGAAGTCTTTAATATAATAATATTTAATACAAACCAGAACAAATCTACTTCTAAAACAAGTACAGATTTTGTTCCATCCTTTTAAAAACTCTTAAAAATATGCTAAGCAAATACTGAATATAAAAATCGTATAAAACATAAATTTACATATATCCTCATAGCAGTAAAATGTATAAAAGTATGTATCGATAAACATAAGAACTTTGGGCTAGGTGCAATGGCTCACACTTGACATATCAGCAATCTGGGGGACTGAGGGGAAGAACTGCTTGAGCCAAAGAGTTTGAGGCTAGCTTAGGCCATACAGGGAGAACTATGTCTCCACAAAAAATAAAAATATCAGTTCAGTGTGGTGGTGCATGCATGTAGTCAATGCTACTTGGGAGGACTGATTGAGCTTGGGAGATTGAGGCTGCAGTAAGCCATGACTGCACCACTGCACTCCAGCCAGGGTGACAGGGCAAAACCCTGCCTCAAAAAACAAACAAACAAAAAAACCCTAAGCATAGGAACTTTTCAAATACTGCAATCTTGGTAGAAATGCAAATATTCTAAAATTCTATTTAAGATGAAAATCAGTAGAGATAACAGAGAAATTAAAAATCGTCTCAAGTTCTGTGGAATATCACTAATATTGTTAACCTTGGAATGTACGTCACGGATAAAGTTCATAGGTATATTTAACTCAGAGATTTCTTACTTAAAGATTTATCTTAGTTTGACTTACCACATACCTTTAGGACCTTTAATGAGCTTTATTTCCATTATTTTTTCTGATACTGGTTTCCGTCTTTTTACATACAAGCGTACGATAGACCCCGCTTCTTTCAAGGCTTCAACAGCTTTGCTATGTGTTACATCACGAACATCTACTTCATTTACTCGTAATATACAGTCATTGACCCTGGGAAAACAATTAAATATTTAAAGTAACTTTCCTAAGGCCACCCAGATAACAGTGACAGAGCTGTGATTCAAAGATAAGAAAACTGATGCTCAAATAGTCTGAGTAATGAGTTTAAGATCACAGAGATAGTATGAAAACTGAGATAAACTAAAAATAATTTTTTTTTTGAGACGGAGTTTCGCTCTTGTTACCCAGACTGGAGTGCAATGGCATGATCTCGGCTCACCGCAACCTCCGCCTTCTGGGTTCAAGCAATTCTCCGGCCTCAGCCTCCCGAGTAGCTGAGACTACAGTCGCACACCACCATGCCCAGCTAATTTTTGGATTTTTAGTAGAGACGGGTTTTCACCTTGTTGACCAGGATGGTCTCGATCTCTTGACCTCGTGATCCACCCACCTTGGCCTCCCATAGTGCTGGGATTATAGGCATGAGCCACCACGCCCAGCCTAAAAATAATTTTTTGAGTGCAATTTCCAACCTACATACTAGACTTAAAAAAACAAAGTTATTTTTTGAAATTTGTATAAAGTTGAAAATTAGGTCACTTAGTTCAAAGGTTTCTTAGGTAAAGAACTTATAATTTGCCATGGTATTAAAGTTTGATTTGTTCCTAGTCTTAGCCTTTTCCCTAGTTCTGGTCCCTGTGATTACGTGGTATTTCATCTGGAAAGAAAGATGGTCATCTCAAATTGGATAGAGAGGGTAAACAAAACATAATTAAAATATTAAAGCTGGTCATGACAAATTTCTATATCTAATTAACAGAATCAGGAAGCAAATGTCTACATTTTTATGAATGGTCAAATGATTAATTTTTATATCTATTTTATTTCATTAATATACCACCTGTCGTATTCAGTGAGAAGCTTAGAAACTGAAAAACTGCATAATGTACCAACAGCCTTAAAATAAGATGCTGTTTTTAACAGACTATATAAACTCTTCTGTCCTAAGACTTCAGGCTATTTTAACAACAAGGAAATAGGAAAAATGCCATAATTTATGACCCGCCCCCCCCCCCCCCCCCCCGCCAAGAAACCAAAGTTTGCAAAATATATCTTCCAAAATGGAACACTAAATTTAAACAGAGACAAATGTTATTTTCATCTATTCAATTAAGAAAATATATTATTTAAAGTTTGCATATACTTTACTCTTTGTGGTGTGGGATACAACATGGATGTGTGATCCTCTATCCTCCATATCTTAAATAAGTTTATATACATGCTTCCCAACCATAGAGGAAATGGAAAATATTTTGTGAGTGTATTTGAAAATACAAAGGGAAATTCATGATTTCTATAAATAAACATTTATAGAATTTTATTTATAGAATGTTCACAAACATTTCAACCATCAACCAAATTTATTATTCAAAATGTTATAATATCTAAGATTAAAAAAAAACAGGACTCCTAAATGAAAACAGGAAAACAATGCTTAGACGTAATTATCTCATTCATTGACTTGCATGTTGTTAAAGCATCTACCCTATGTTAGTTACTATGATAGTGTTGTTATTTCTATTTATCCCTGTCCAGTCTGCTTCAAGAAAAATACACAAAGTAGATTCGGCATCACAAAATAAAGTGCAAAGCATACCGCAGTCTTCCATCTTGGGCAGCTGCTCCCCCTGTGATAATTTTGGTAATGAAAATACTTGAGTCATCTCCAATGTGTGGGTTGTCCGTACCTCCTGCAATGCTAAAACCAAGCCCTGAATTTCCCTGAGGATAGAAGAAAAAAAATTGACATGAATATGATTTCTCTTTGTTGACAGGTTTCTGTCATTAAAGGATGCAGAAACTGTACTAATGTAAGGAACACAACAAATAAAGGTATATGTGTAATATAAAGATTCTAAATTAAATGGACATGTTCTGAAGGAAAGTCCTTCAGAGGCATTACCTGCTGAGCAGGTGAGGTTCAAGAAAACATACCAAGGACTTTTGAAGTCTACTGCACAGTTTTTTCTTTAAAAGTATGCGCAGCTTGCCCTTGGATTAGTCACCCATCTGCAGAGGTGTCACTATAAGTCTGTTTCTTTTAGACTGCACCTCAGCCATGTTTGGTAGGGCACATCTCTATTAAGAGACAAATGCTAAAGAGATCTTCCTGCTGTTATTTCTGAATAGGTAAAATCAATATTTTTTTTAGCCTTTAAAAAAGGGGGAGGCGATGGTGTTTTTCTTCTGCTAACTTGCCATCAGCTTATTTTTAAATGACCAAATTGTAGATGCTATGTGCTAGCTGCCTCAATCCTTCACATGTTTAACCAATATACCTGATGAACGAAAGGTATTTTTTAATACTGAAACTCCAACCTGAGAACTTAACATTGGTGAATTTTCTTGATAGCAAAGTAAAATTTTGCCAAAGCAGCCCTACTTTTTCTTATTTTATGAACTGGAGAAACTAGATTTCTGCTTCACAGTAAGGTTTCAACTGCCACAAAAAGTCTTTAAAAATAATTGATTTAAGCAATGGTATTGAAAAATATTTATATCTGCAAGAATGTTTTAACTGGATTTCAGGCAACTCAAGTAAGCAAATATATCTGGACCTATTATTTAGCTGTTAGTATTAAATAGTGTCATCACTCACTCTACCACCATTTGTCTTAAAATTCTATCTTCATTAAAAAATGTTTTTCAATCTAACTTCATGAATTAGCTGAATCTTAACAATAGTATCAGTGGATGATGGGAGGTTACCAAGTTACTTAGGTACTCAAGTTCTTCAACCAATGAAGAATACAATGTACAGTTCTGACTAAACAAAAGGAATTTAAAAGGTCCTGGGAAAGGATTAAAAAAATAAATAAAATAAAAAGGAGACATCACAAACCACTACATTAAAATATGTACAGTACATTGATACTGTGCTTACTTGAATGTTACTCCAGTAGCTACCTAACTTGAGCAGGTGATCCGAATTTAAGTAGAAGACAATAAAGATACACATGTAAAAGATTCTCTCAGATTTATTTTTCTTGGATTCCAACACAAATCTAATTATCTAGGATTTTAGTCTTGATCATACAGACATTTACTTACTTAAGAAATCTGCTTGTGTGGAAAACTAAATTTCCACAAAATGTTAGCTAGATAAGGTGGCATTACTATTATAACATACAATAAAAACTGAATGCAAATATTCTCTTTTTTTTTTTTTTGAGATGAAGTCTCACTCTGTCACCCAGGCTGGAGTGCAGTAACGTACTCTTGGCTCACTGCAACCTCCACCTCCTGAGTTCAAGTGATTCTCCTGACTCAAGTAGCTGGGATTACAGGTATGTCCCATCACACCTGGCTAATTTTTGTATTTTTAGTAGAAACGGGGTTTCGCCATGTTGGCTAGGATGGTCTTGAACTCCTGGCCTCAAGTGATCCACCCACCTTGGCCTCCCAAAGTGCTGGGATTACAGGCATGAGCCAGCATACCTAGCCTGAATGCAGATATTAAGGAGAAAACATATCTTTGTCTGTTAGAACTATGTTATTTTGCTAGAAAAGAAAATTGACACAATGACGATGTTTATTAGTATATTCCTTACTTAATATGAACAATATTTCATTATCATGTGCATACAAACAATAAGAACAAAATTTAAAAAACAAGAAAAATTTGAGAAACTATTACAATCTAGAGGGGTCTAAGGAGACAGGATAACTCAATGTAATGTGGTGTCCTGGATGGGCCTCTGGAAGAGAATAACATAAAATGTAAGGAAACAGAGACTTCAGTTAATAATAATGTATGAATATAGGCTTATTAGTTGAAACAAACATACTCTAGTAATGTAAGATGTTACAAGAGAGGAGGCTGAGTCCAGGGTAAATGGAAACTCTTGGGACAATCTTTACAACTTCTTTGTAAACCTAAAACTGTTTTAAAATAAAAAGTTTACTTAAAAAAATAAGGTTACTAAAGAAAAGGAACATGTTTTGAAAATGTCTTGGCCAATTTTATGAACTGGGAACTTAGAAAATATCATATAGTTCCGTTTTTGAAAGATCACCCTTGGATTCTATATGAAAAAGCAGTATATGCGATTTGCAATATGCAAAGTTCTTTAAAACAACAGATTAAGATTACCCTTTCAAGTGTGATTTCTTCATATTCGTAATCTGCGTCTGTGCCATTAACCTACAGGGAAAAAAAGAAACAGCTCAGAAACTTAAGAATGTAAAATATAAAATGGCAAGACAATATTTTTCTATGATTTGTTAAGGAAAACCTGTTAAATGCAACAGTAATCAAACAAAATAGCTTCATTTTAATAATTCTGGGAAAGATTTTCAAGGAATGGAATACAAATGTGATTAATGAGTTGACAACATTCGTGGTATCATGACTTTCAAATCCAGGAAGGGTATATCAGCTTTTAATAGTTTTGACCTCTGATCCTTCTCCACTTTTATCCACATATCTAATCAGTTGCCAACTCTTCCAGATTTGAACACTTTAATTTTTCTGAAAATCATCACCTCTTCACTCTCATTTCTAATACCTTTCTTCAGTCCTTGTTAAATCTTTTCTGCAATGGAATACTGTCAATGCAATCTGCCTAATTGCTTAGATTAGTATTCCTCATTGCCCAAGTCACTGTGTTTTAAATGGGATCTTTTTAAAGCCTGTAACACACTTCCTCTAAAACTTTCAAAACTTTCCCTTCCTAAAAATATCCAAACTCTATAGTCTGGTAATCAAGTCTCTGAATGAACTGACCCCAGTGTACCACTCACCTTCATTCTTCATCTTCATAAACCTTACATACCATCCAGTCTGAATGACTTGCTCTTTCCATTACATATTCTACAATTTTCCACTTCTATTATCTAGAACTTTTGTACTTCCTTGGTCACAAATTTCACATACATGTTTTGTGTCAAAATCAGAGTCACCATTCAAAATATCTTGCTCACAATTTATCTCCTTCCAGTTTATTTCCTAGTCTCACCTGAAAGAAGTTAACTTCTACAGTAAAGACCACTAGTGAAACAAGTCACTGGAATCAGACGAGCATGGATTTAAATCCTTGCTTTAAAATTTCTAGTGATATGAGGCTGAGCAAAATATCTAAATCAAATGGGGACTGTGATAAATTACATTTCTGAAGATGCCTCACATCTTCCATTCCAGACATCCTTTTGCAGTATGACAACATCACCCTACCATCAAAAGGCGTCTCTTTCCTCTCCCATTAGATCTAGACAAGTTCTGTGACTAGCTAAAAATAAATGTGGCACAAATGATGCTATGATTTCAGAGGCTAGGTCATCTGATGCCTGGTAGTATTTGCCTTTGTCTTAGAATGTATTTTCTTTAGAACCCAGCAGCTATAACATGAGGAAAACTCAAACAGCCTACAGGGAGATCTAAACAAAGGAGAACCAAAGACACTGGCCAAAAGCCCCAGCTACACTCCTACCCAGCAGTCAGCACCAACTATCGGCCATGTGAATAAGGCTACGTGGACCTCCCAACTTTTTCCATTACCTAAAACTGACACCATGTAAAGCAGAACCATACAATTCATCATTTAAAAAAAATGTACTGTTGTTCTTTTAAGCCACTATGCTTCAGGGTAGTTTGTTATGCAATGATAACCACAAGAGAAATAACAAAACCTACATAAGCCACTTTGCTTTCTCAACCTTACTATAAAAAGTAACCCTTCATTTAACTGATATAGGGACCAGGAGTTTCTTCCTTGATAACTTTTGAAACTCATCTCTGCTACCCTTTTGGGTTCTTAATTCTTGTGATTCTCCTGGATTCAAATCCTATGATGACTTTGTTCCCTCTTCTTTAGATCTAAAGACATTTTCCTCTTAGAGATTATATATTATACAAGTATTTACACAGAGAGAGTTGGGATTTCACTCTGTTACCCAGGCTGAAGTGCAGTGGCATAATCATAGCTCATTGGGGCCTCAAACTCCTGAACTCAAGCAATCCTTCTGCCTTAGCCTCCCAAGTAGTTGGAACTATAGGCACATGCCACCATGCCTGGCTAAGTTTATTTTCAACTGTTTTTCATAGACATGGGGTCTCACTATATTACCCAGGCTCATAGAGAGAGAGAGACAGACAGACACACACACACATAAAATTTCTTAGTCTCAGTTTAGGAGGAGTAACTTCAAGAGACGTGTTGATCATGTCTGTGCATCTAGAGTACAGGAGGGTTACACATGTGTATATTCTGCCCATTTGACTGGAAGTCCTTTGTTATGAGTAAAAGTAAAATTATTATTTGCAGCAATATCCCCTTTCTTATTCTAAAGGTTATTGGTATCATCTTGTTTCTTGCTCAAGACTTGCTAAAAGTCTATCAGTCTTTACCAAAGTAGTTTTAACATTATCGACGAGTCTATTACATTTCATGGTATTACTTTCTGCTTTTTAACAATTCCTTGTTCTTTTGATTTTCTAAAAAAAGATTTTTTGAGTTGAATGCTCAATTTATGCTTACTCTTCTCTGTTTTTAAAAACCTTCAACTTTATAAATTTTCCTTGACATAGGGATTAGGACAAATCCCACAACTGCTACATTGGGCTCCATTTTTGTTCATTCATTTATTTCTAAATAATCTAAAATTTTATTTTGGAAAACATTTATAAGGCCCTTTTGGCATTAACATAAAATTCTGATATTATGACCTTAAGATTTGCCTTAAAGAATCTGAGATTTTTCATCTTTAAGTTTCCTTACAAGGTAGGTGCTCAGTAAATGTTTCTGGTGCTTAATTAAATGCTAATTCACGTAGGTTTCTAGGCAGCACAGAAAGGAGGTTTTTGGTTAGCACTCGGTACTTTTAAAAAGGTGAAACATGAGGCAGCTGCTATATAGACCACTAGTAACTTTATTCCTTAATCCTCAATAACTTAAAACTGCTGATACTTTCAAATACCAAGAAAATTCAGTATAACATTAAACATACTCACACTGAGCTTTGAAGGGCCAAGAGTTTATTATCAAATACGTGTGTGTGTGTGTGTGTGTGTGTGTCTGAGAGAGAGAGAGAGAGAGAGAGAGAGAGAGAGAGAGAGAACCTTTACAATCTACTCTCAGCAATTTTCAAGTGTACAATACATTGTCATTAACTCTAGTTGCCATGTTATACAACACATCTTGTGAAGATACTTCTCTAGACTGAAATTTTATATCAGATGACCAACATGTCTTCAATCCCTCTATCCTCAGGTAACCACCACTCTACTTTATGTTTTCAGTTTGACCTTTTGAGATTTGATCATGCAGTATTTGCCTTTCCGTGCCTGGTTTATTTCATTTAACATAATGTCATCCAGGTTCATCCCTGTTGTCACAAATGACAGGATTTCCTTCTTTTTAAAGGCAGAACAGTATTCCATTCTGTATATGTACCACAGTTTCTGTATCCACTTCATGTGCCAGCAGACACTTTGGTTGTTTCCATATCTTGGCAACTGTGACTAATGCTGCAATGACCACTGGAGCCAGGTATCTCTGTGGTGTATTGATTTTTCGTTCCTTTGGATATATACTCAGAAGCAGGACGGCTGATCACATAGTTCTATTTTTAATTTTTGAGGAACCTCCATACTGTTTTCCATAATGGCTGTACTAATTTACATTCCTACCAACAGTATAGAAAGGTTCCCTTTTCTCTACAGCATTGCCAACACTTATCTTGTCTTTTTTCATATCAGCCATCCTAATGGCTGTCAAGTAGTATCTCATCGTGGTTGTAATATACATTTTCCTGATGATTGGTGATGTTGAACATTTTAAAATATACTTGCTGGCCATTTGCTCTTTTTGTGTGGGTGCAAAAAGAGCAAATGGTTCTCTGTCCATTTTTAAAAATTGGGTTATTTGTTTTCTTGCTATTTATTTATTTTTATTTTTATTTTTTTTTAGAGGCAGCATCTTACTCTGTTGCCTAGCCTGGAGTGCATTGTTGTGATCACAGTCACTGCAGCCTTTAACTTCTGGACTCAAGCAATCCTTCCACCTTGGCCTTGTGAGTAGTTAGGACTAGCGGCATGTGCCATCACACTCGGCTAATTGTAAAAAATCTTTCTGTGGAGATGAGGTCTCAGTATATTGCCCAGGCTGGTCTCAAACTCCAGAACTCAAGTGATCCTCCCACTTTGGCCTCCCAAAATGTTGGGATTATAGATAGGCATGAGCCACCAGTCCTGACATGTTTTCTGGCTATTGAATTGAGTTCCTTATAAATTTAATAATATTAACCCCCTTATCAGACTTATAGTTCACAAGTATTTTCTTCCATTCTGCAAGCTGTCTCTGCACTCTGCTGATTGTTGTTTTTGCTAGGCAGAAGCTTGATGCAATCCCATTTGTTTATTTTGTTTCCATTGCCTATGCTTTCGGGTTTCAAAATATCTGCTCAGTCCAATGTCAAGAAGCTTTTCCCCTATGTTTTCCTTCCTTCCTTTCTTTCTTCCTTTTTCCTTTCTTTCTTTTTCTTTCTGCTCAGTCCAATGTCAAGAAGCGTTTCCCCTATGTTTTCTTTCTTCTTTCCCTTCCTTCCCTCCCTCCCTGCCTTCCTCCCTTTCTTTTTGAGACTCGAGTGGCACGATCTGGGCTCACTATAAACTCTGCCTCCTGAGTTCAAGCAATTCTTATCCCTCAGCCTCCCGAGTAGCTGGGATTACAGTTAGGAGCCACCATCCCTGGCTAATTTTTGTATTTTTAGTAGAGACGGGGTCTCACCATGTTGGCCAGGCTGGTCTCGAACCCCAGACCTCAGGTGATCTGCACACCCTGGGTTTCCAAAAGTGCTGGGATTATAGGCGTGAGCCTCCACGTCCTGCTGCTTTTCCCCAATGATTTCTTCCAGAGTCTTACAGTGTCTGTTCTTAAATCCTGAATGTATTTTAAGTTGATTTTTGCATATGGTATGAGATAAGGGTTCAATTTCATTCTCTGCATGTGCATATTCAGTTACTGCAATACCATATAATGAAGAAAGTGTCCTTTCCCCAATGTGTGTTCTTGCTATTTTTTCTGAAGATCAGTTTACCATAAATGTGTAGATTTATTTCTGAGCTCTCGATTCTACTTCATTCCATCGGTCTGTTTGTTTTTATGCCAGTACCATGTTGTTTTCATCACTACAGCTTTGCAGCAG